TCCTTCCTCTGTTCATTTGATAGTGCTGCTTTTAAACTGAGTCAGTTTTCACATCTAGCTCTTTTCCTTATAGAATGTCTTAGGTCCTTCTCAGAATTTTAGACTGGCGAGAAGGCATAGGCTTAAGAGAAACCTACCAAATTAAAATAGAGGCTCAGCTTGTTCTTACCCTGGGCAGAAAACAGTGTGTACATGGGTGCACATGAGTGTTTGCAAGTTGCCTTCCATCTGCCTTCCATGTATAAAATTCAAGCAAGCAATGGCAGTTGCAAATGGTTTATGAATTTTCTTAATGTCTTTTTATATAGTCACGGGATTGGATCCAACAGAAGATTTCATAGAGGGAGTTGGTGAAGCAGATCTTTCTCTACCCTCATCTCTACCAAGCTGCTTGCCATTTGTCCCGGAATTCCTCTCTGAGGTTCAGTAGATCCTTACAAGCTAAATGTGCCGCAGGTTCAGAGTTTACTGCAGTGAGAGGGGACCATTGGTAAATTGCCATTTTTTTGTTTCTTCTACTGACACAGACCATGACTGGAAGCAGGGGGAAAGGTGATTTTACTTGATTCCCCATTATCTCTGAACCTCCTGTCCCACCCTGTGGTACATTTTACTTCTTAGGCACGCCTGACCTTCAGAGAGGAGTTCTGAGATAAATGTCAGGTTACTTGAGGACAGGGAGGCAAGGGAAGATCTGCTCTGCCAACACTGATCCTGAGGTTTTCCTGTGGATCCAGCACTGAAACATGATTTGTTCTTGGTAACTTCACGTCTGTTACTGAACGTCCAGGAAAGTTAAAATGCTCAGTCAGTGGTTTCTGGGCATTTTCCAGTCTTAATGGCATTTAGTTTGCATCCATTTATTCTCCAGACAGACAGAGTACAGTTTGGTTCATGTGAACGAGACAATGTGCACAATAGTATATTTCACAGAAGATGAGCACATGAATGAGGTATTAACAGTGTGACTGGTGGTCTTGGATCCAGTCACAGTCTCACTTAGAAGCTATGGTGACAGCATTGGGCCAGGATATAGTTTCTAGGTATGTTTATTGGTTGAATGGTCCATTGTTTATTCATCTTCAGCTCTTTGGAGTTCGCTGCTCTCTGTCACTGAAGTTTTTCAAAGAAATAAATTAATTAAAAGAATATATGAAAGCATGGAGGAAAGGAAGTAAGGCTTTAGTAGCAAGCTATTGTCTCCCATCATTATGTAAATTATACTGTATAAGACTTTGCTCTTTTTTTGGCCGTATTAGAATGTATTTGGAATGATTTATTGCTTACTTTTAATTATTGTTCAGCATTTTAAGCAAAGAAACACCAGCACATTAAATGTCATGGGTATAGGATTCTTCTGAACAGTCCTGAAGAGTCCAGATATTAAACTGTGACAGCTGAGCTTTGAAAATAATGCAGATGTGCAGTGTCAGATTGCATAATTCTACACAGCTCTTTCGATTCAAAGTATAGATATACAACTTTTTGTAAAACAGGGAAAAACCACTTGAATACAAAGTAGGGGTCCCCCCTAAAAAGTTGAGAAGAAAATGAACTGATCAGAGCAGGTATTCAGCTCTGCTAGACAGTAGATCTATAAATCATTGCTCAGAATTAAACCGCCTTTTTTTTTGGCCTGAACTAAAACTGAAACCAGATTAAACTGAAGATAAAGTTTTTGTTGTTGTTGAAACTCAACCTAAACCAGACCAAAGTTGACAGCAATGGAATAATGCTTAGTGGTACCAAAGTTATACTAAGCAACAGCAAAGTGTTTTACTTTCCAAAATTGTTGTTGCTGAGAGGAAATGTAGCTGTGTGAAGGACCACTTACAATTTGATTACTCTATTCTCAAAAACTGTGACAACTCCTGCCTATAGCATTGTAGGCAGAATACAGGTATCTTCTAGCCATACTGGACTTTCTCTGTTAACATAAGATGTAACTAATTATATTTGAGTAAGGTAGCATCATAGCTACTGAGATGCAAACACCAGTGACATTGGCTGTGGGAGAAAAAAAAGTAAAGGTTTGTTAGGTTTGAAGGCAAGTGTTTAGGTAAAGTTATCTTAAGCCTATGATTTAAAATCTAACTGTTGACTCTGTGTATAGACTGTTGTCTATATGCTGCTTAGTTATATCATCTGCCATTTTTCGGTGCTAGTGGCAGGATTACATAGGACAAAGCAAAACAAATTTTAATTCAGTATTTCAGACCTATAAAATTGTTGGCATATAGAAATGCTGATGGGGAAAGACAGAAACTTGCCTAATAGATCAATATAAATGCATTACTATGTGGAAATAAAACTGGATGTCTTGAGTTTGTCACATTAAAACCAGCAGAGTTCAGAACAAAATATGCTTCTAGGTTATGTTAGAGAACTATGGACATTCTGTTTTTGAATCAACAATTTATAGTAGTATCTCACATTAGGTATGTATCTAAGACATTGGTATGGTTCATGTAACAACAAACTATGTTTAGTTGTTGTGTGAATAAGTGGACAGATATTTGGGCTTGGACACTCCCTCTTCCCTTCACATACAGTCAGTCAATAATGAATGCATTTGTGGAAAGTTATGGGGAGACAGTGTTATGTCCAAACCCTAAACTGTAGTGTGCTGGCTTTCTTCACATCCAGGTTTTCAAACGTGAATGAAACCTGTTTTGGGATCCTGGTGTGGAGTAAGAAGAGAACATACCATAGCTTGCGGTTCCAGCAACATGACAGTCTTTGGTTTTTCCTAGAAAACAGAAATGTTTTATTTTTGAACTGTGTATGAGGCAAGGGCAAAGAATTCTTCAGGCTCGCTCATATAAACTACACATTAGGGTTTGTTATACCTGAACTTTGCCATTGCATGTTCGGTTTCATGTTAACTGTTGTTTTTATGATTGAGTTAAATACGTTTTTTAAAAATAAGGACTTGTAATGGAAATATTGAAAGAGTGCAAGTTCATTTAGAATTACCAAGTGGCTCTGCATTCATCTGCCGTTATGTGCACAGGCCCTTTCCGTGATGGTGGTAGTTCATAATGTTATCACAAAGGTACACTGGAAAATCTATCACAATGAGCTTCTGAGCCATAGTGAGGGCAGAAAGGTGATTAAAAAAAGAAAAGAAAAAGTTTTTCATCCATATCCCGGTGGCTCCTGTTTGCAGTAGTCCATTGCATTCCATAGCTATTGTCAGGGGTCATTTTGTAGAAAGAGAGGTGCAGGAGCTCATTAGCATAACTTATTTGCATATGCCACACATCCCTGACATCACCGGAAGTGTGTCAGAAGGCAACACCCACTGCCAGGCATCACTGGACTCTTTTGAATTGCTAGCTATGGGGGGGGGATGTGCAGATCTGCCCTCACAGAAGAGGGAGAGCTTGTACCTGAATAAACCTTGGCCTTAAAGGTGCCACTGGACTCCTTTGGATGTTTTGGATTGCTATCGGGGGGGGGGCTCTGCAACTTACCTGGCTGCTTCTTGTTCCTTGTGGCCCGGGGCTGCTGGGAGCAGGGGGCGGGGCTTGTTGCATGTGCCCGCCCCCTGGGCTCTTTACTGCCAGAGCTCCGCTCCTGTGCACTCCTGCAGGAAATAACCCCTGGCTATTGTTATGCTTCCCACTGAGGGTTGCCAGCCCCCAGGTTCCAGCAGGGATCCCTTTGCTTTTGGGAGCTCCAATCCATCGCCGGCCACTCGCCCCCAAACATGGACATCGTCGTGCAATGTCCCCAGTGTGATGACGTCACCCAGAATTGATGTCATCACCCGGAAGTGACATCATGATGTCAGTGACGTCCCCGGTGACCCTCTGGTTTTGGGGCATATTATGGTTTTGAAGTCCAAAAACCATAGAGTTTTTGCCCCCAAACAAAAGTGTCACATGGGTGATGCCATTGCACAGAGGACATTGCATGTGATATCCTGCTCACACCCAGAACGCTCCTCAAATTCCCCTGCTGTGATGGCAAGGGGACCTGGCAACCTTATTCCCACCACAGTGGAGTGGTCAAACAGATATAACCTTACCTTTCTGAGGATGTTTTGGGTGGTCTTTTCTCTGTATTAATTATCTTGCCTAATGTGATTATGAAGAATGTAATGTGCAAGCAGAAAGTACCTTTTACATCAATTCTCAAAAGGTGTGGCTATGGTTGGAGAAATTATTGTCCAAATGTGTTTGTTTACAAGTTGTCCAGATAATACTTTTCTCGTTCATCTTAGGCCATGTGTACCTAATGAGAACTCCACAGAGAAAAAAATATAATTGAAATTAAACAGATTGTGTGAATGGGCTAGCAACCTCTGAAAATAAGAAAAGCATATAAGAACCTTGGGCCTGACCTAGATAGCCCAGGCTAGCCTGATATCATCAGATCCTGGAAGCTAAGCAGGCTTGGTCCAGGCTACTATTTGGATGGGAGACCTCCAAGGAATACAAAGATCATGATGCGAAGGCAGGCACTGGCAAACCACCTCTGAACATCTCTTGCTTTGAAAACCCCACAGGGTTGCCATAAGTCAGCTATGACTTGATTGCACTTCCCACCACCATAAGAACCTGGGCATGCCATGTCTAAATTTCACTACCTGCTTCTATTACCAGATTACTTGTGCTTTTACAATAAAGGGTTATCCAGATCATCAGAATACTCTGTGTTAGAACAAAGCCATTTACCATTCTTTTTTCACTCTCTGTTCGCCTGTGCTCACTTTGACCCTAAACAGAAGGCTTCCCTGTTATTTTTCAGCTTGGTGAGGAGCAGTTGCTTGGGAACAGAGTAGTGGATAGGATACTTTTTTGGAAGAGGTGCTTGTGGAAAAGGGGCTTTGTACTGCATCATAATTTCTTCTGTGGGACATGTCTTGAAATGTGCGATTTGAGGACTGTGTTGTCCATATTTTACCAAAGATGTTTTCTCTTTTATTCATCATACAGATTGTGATGTTGTTGGTGCTTGTTTTCATAGTAATTTTGTTTATTTGTGTTCTTCAGGTAAAAAACCATACCTCTGCAGTTTATCTGAAGAAAATCCATCTGTTGCAGCACTACATCTTAAGAATGGAAGAAACCACATGCGAGAAAATTATGCCAGTGAATCTAAACCAGAGTTGACAACTGTGGCATCTATCCCAGAAAACAAGATCAAAGATCTTTTTCCAAAATACATGGATCGCAACATTTCCCCAGACCCAGAGAAATCAATATTTCAGTATAGCCAAGATCTCCCTTGCTCCAGTAGGACGGTTGACTTTACTTCCAGTATGGGCCAGCTAAATTCAGATGTGAAATTAGATCTGCAGGCCCCACTAGAAATGCAAACTAAGCAGTCTAAAGAGAACCTTCCAGATATGCATGAGCACTCTTTGCTCAGTAAAGATCCAGATGTGCAAGAGAAGATTCCATTAGATCTAAGTGAGAAGTCAACTAGAGGTGTTTCATGCAATACAAGTCTTACCTCAACCTTGCAGGCTGCTTTGATTGTCCATCCGTGTCCTTACTGCAGTCATAAGACCTATTACCCAGAAGTCTTGTGGATGCATAAAAGAATTTGGCACAAGGTCAGTTGTAATTCTGTGGCTCCTCCTTGGGTTCTGCAAAATGGATTCAGGAGTATAAAAAACAACTTGGTTTTTCTGGTGAGAAATGGTCGCACTGGTCCCCCTCCTGTTCTTGGTGGTAAAGAATGCCAGCCTTTGCCCATAGCTAGATTTACACGTACTCAGCTACCATGCGGGTTGTCAGGATCCAAAAACAATTCTTCTGGACATGGTGTAACTGCTAAGCCTGGGACTATGCCTAAAGATGTGCCCTCCATTAGTAACTGTGGCCCACGATCATCCAGCGTTGATGGGTACCGGCAGTCAAAACCGAACCACACCCATGAAAAATATAGCACAGTAGCCCAGCCATCCCAACTGAAAGTGAAATATGAAGTGAATTCCAAGTTGATGCAAGCGGGAAGCTTTAGCAGAAGTTCAACACCTTCCCAAACAATTGTATCTAGACCCAACTCACAGCCCTCCGACTGTAAGCAAGCAGAGAAATATACAGTTTCCCAAGTAAGTGCCGGGTTTCCCCCTCTAAGTAAGCATTGCACTCCAGACCCAGGAAAGGCCAAATTTGTGTCTTCACCTCAATTCCACTCTCCATGTAAGACTGAGCCATGCATCACTCAAGAAGACCCACCAGTGCCGCAGCAGGACCTGTTCCCAGAAGAGAGAATGAGATGAGGACCTTGGTAAATTGCACGGCAGGATCCAGAGCCAGTCCACTGATGCAGCCTCAGCCCATTATAGCAGGACCACCACCAATGGTGCATTCCATCAAACAAGAGCAACCATCAGAGGGGCACGAAAAGCGGCTGGACATTTTAAACATCTTTAAGACCTACATTCCAAAGGACCTTGCTTCTCTCTACCAAACATGGGGTGCCAATAGCTCTGCAGTGGACCATGCTGGTAAGGATCAAGAACTTCCTTCACGTTGTTTTAAATGGGTAGTTGTTTCCTTTACCTGCTAGAATTTTGAGTTCCTTGGCCTGTGGTTAATAACCCACACTGCAAACCTTCTACGGTATTATATTTCCGATGAGGTGCTAGATCACATTAACACTGTTTTTTTAAATAATTTCTTCTCATAATAAAATTAGTGGCACTGTCCTGATCACCAACACTGCACAAAGGGTCCTCCCCCCCCGGAAATTATCTGTAAACCCAGGAAAACCCTCCCAAATAGTGTTGACAACCTCTAGGTGTCCGCTGGAGATCTCCTGGGATTACAACTGATCACCAGAAAGGGAGATCAGTTCCCTTGAGGAAAAAATGGCTGCTTTGGAGAATAAATAAGACATTATGCCCCATAGAAGTCCCTCCCCAAATCCTGCCCCCCCCCCAGGCTCCATCCCGAAATCTTCAGGTATTTCCCAAACAGGAGTTGGCAACTCTGCTTTCATATGCTGCCAAAAAAGCCCCCTTCCCTTCTATGTAATAAATGCATCTGTTGGGGCTGTGATGTATGTAATATTCTGTGAAAGCTTCATTTATCTATGAGCTTCCATAATTTTAATTTTCTGTACATCCCTTGTACATGTTTGCAGAGCTGGTGAAAATAAATCAGTCCTATATATGCAGAGTTGTATTGTCAACTTTACCGCAATGCCAGGAGTGCAAAAAGTGTTAACCGTAGGCTACCCATAGCAGAGTGGAAGCATAGCAAAGAGGCGGGGGGGGGGAGAAGAGCCAGCTCTGACGAACAGACACATTACAGCTCCCCCTAGAGGTCAAATGGACTAAACATGCCTTGTGTCAGGATTTATATTAATAATAACTGTTCATATGCTGTCACCTATCTAACAATATCCTGTTTTCCATCCAAAAATGGACCCTCAGGGTGGATTATAGTAAGTTAAGATAATAATACAGGAAAAATAAAACTGTTATGTATAAAGTCCACTCCTTCGTTTCTCTTCTTAGTAATGTTATAGGAAAGGATTATCATTAAAAACCAACATCATTAAATAGTACAAGATAACCAACCTAATATATGAACCCATAAAGCTGCCTTATACTGAGTCTATCAAGGTCAATTTTGTCTACT